TAAAAAAGTTGGTCTTGGGCAAGAAAGGAAGACAGGCCCGATAGAGGAAGGAACAATTGAAGTATAATCATTTGATAGAGAGGGCTTAATATTGAAAGTAAATGGGACATGTCGACATATGGGTGAAAGAGACCAACTATCTTCCTTTCTTGCTAAAATAGAAGAGATGGGAAGGATCAAGAGTGACGGTGATAGCCTAACTAGGGGAAAAAATGGCGTTTCTATAAGGATATTAAGGACAAATAGATGGGAAGAGTAAACAGAGGGGGAAGAAAATAGCAAAAAAAAGGGAAAAAAAAGTATGAATGGGAAATGGACCAATAATGAACGTATGGGGTGCAAATGAGTCAATATCCGACTGAGACTTTAAGGATCAAAATAGGGTGTTATCAAAGCCTGATGAAGAAATGGAGATATTGAAGGAGGTAAAAGAGTAGTTGACAGCTACACTTAAAGCAATCAACTACTTTAATCGTCCAGAAAGAGCAGTCAATTACTAAGGGCCTGAAGTCGACTACTTTGTCAAACCGAAACTAAACTTAGATTCTATACAAATAGCAATCAACTGACATCCTAAAGCAATCGATTGTTGTGTCTACAAAAAGTTTGTAATAAATTCCAACCTTTTAAGAAGCAATTGGCATTGGATGATAGTTTTTAGGATTGATCTACGCTATAAGCAGTCAACTGCTATTATAAAGGAGTCGATTGCCCTATAAAAGACTGGTTATGGAAACATTTCTATTCCAAGGAGTCAACAGCTATGTTGACTGTTCATGTGTTGAATGCATTTTAAATAAATCAAAGATTCGAATGCTTTATGGAAAAGTCAAATATCCTAATTCTAAAAGCTTTCTGGAAATTGGAAATAAAAAAAAGGGAGTCTGATATTTTCTTAGGGCAATCTGCTACTCTATATGAAAAGTTATAATTTCTAGAAACGAGAAAAATGATTTTTTTTTTTTAGAAAAGTTTGATTATTCAAAGGAACAAATATGTCTGTAATCTTTTAAAGAGACATTTATAATTAAAATGATTTGATCTTTAATTGAAATAATATAATCAAAGAGTCATAACCTTAGCATTCAATCTTTATAAATAAAAAATTGATATGAATTCATTTAATGATTGAATTCAATTTTGAATTTCTCTCTTCTTTCTCATATTTCTTTTTAACAAAAAAGTCAAATTGCTTAGCATTGTTTGCTATAGAAAACCTTACAAAGACAAGGTATTTCTATTCCTACTAAGGTGTGTTTAGTAGTTTGTTATTATGGAAACCCACATCCAACCGTGAGTTATTGTCAACTTTGATTCGAAAGTCTCATGATTTTATCTCACAAAAGATGTTTCACATAAGTTTACGTTTAAGCATCTACTTAAATATTATAACAGATCCTCAAAACCTTCTACTGTGGGATCATGGTGTCAAAAACTCCTCTTGTTAAAGCTTCACATCCTTGTCAATCCCAACACAAAGTATACAGATCAACCGAATCACACCAAATGTTAAGCAAGCCCAACATAAAGTACACACATATTACAAGATCACACCAAACATTGAAATTCTATAGGTGTAGCACTTAGCTCTCACAGGATTTTCTAAAGGTGGCTTTCACGGCGTAGCACTTAATTCTATACGACTCATAATCTGACTCTGATTCCATTTGTGGAGACTTATACCCAACCTGTAAAGTATTATCTGTTTTGATCCAAAGCTTTCATGATTTTATTTTACAAAAGGCGTCTTACAAGTTTAGGTTTAAATTTCTAGTTAAATATCATACCAGATCCTCAAACCTCCCGATGTAAGATTGGGGTGTCACAGTTATACTAGTACAAAGTATAAACAAACAAAGTTTCATTGTATCTTAAAGGAGTTTTAGTTAACCTTTCTGCATATTATAATTAGTTGGGGCAAAATAATCCTTAAGGGATGTTTGCAACACATCTTGAAGCAATCTCAATAAAGGGGTTACAAAAAATTCACAAATTCACAAGACAATCAAGTATCAAGTTGTATCTTATAGCCTTGTAATCCATATTATTTTTCTAATAGTTTTCAAATAAGAGATACCATAATTTGGCTTTTGACAATAAGGAGTCCATGCATCTTTATTCTTTTGTGTCAAATATCGTAACGGTACAAATTAAAGAGAAAAGCATTAAGTTCTGCTTCACTTAGTACCTTTGTCTTTCCTTGCAACCAATGAAAACATGCCATGTCAGCACATTATTACAACTCTGCCTTTTCTCTTTTTCTATATAAAAAATGCGCTACTACTAAGCTGTGCTTAATTTGGCGGTTTATCTATTTCTAACATAATGTTTACCAAAAAAACCGTTTAGATAAGTTTTACTTAATTAATTTAATTATTTAATTTTTTTTTTTTTTTTTTGCCAATGGAGCTGCAATATGAGGATAAAAAAATTACATGTATTGAAATTGAAATCGTATATTCTTAAAAATGAACCAATTGAACTAAACTCTAATTCCACTTAATTTCATGTTTTCTCTATTTTTAAACCCAAATCTCCTATTATCCTATTCCCAAATTTTTTACTTAATTGATTATTATCATTCACTTAATTACATCTGTTTTTTCCTTTGGTTTTCATAATTTCTTGGAGGAGAAAAAGAAGATGAAAAGATAACATATGAAAATTTTACCTTTGTTTGGGTGAAATTTTGTTTTTCTTGTTTTCTGTTGTTATTTCATATGTGATAAAAAAAGTTCATTAAAATCCTAAAGCTTCTGGAATTTATGTACGTTTCTTTGAATGAAACTTCTTTTTTAAATGATTGAAAGCTACCAAAAAAAACTGTTGGGGGTATTTTGGGTAGTGGTGAGTTTGAGCTCCGATGATGGTGAGGTGAAAAGAAACTATACCTGTGGCAAAGAAAGCACGGTTAAAAAGCGTTAAAGTTTGATTTCTGAAAATATACTTCGATACTCAAGTCAACAAGGTAAAAGAGGAAAGGAAATATTGTCGAGAATAATAGAGGAAGCTTGGTGAAAGAAGGTTCAAAATCATGTACCTAAATCTCCTTTTATCTTATATGTGAAATATAGCAGGTTATAAGATACCAGTAATTGACAACTGATGAAAAATCTATATAGGTTGTTAATTGGTGATATTTAATGATCCCAAACTAGTTGAACATCATGTGATGACCCGCTGATGGAACATTAATGAAGGCAATTAAGCGTACTATCCCTAGCGGACGAGCAGTTTGTGTAGGCGATGAGCTCCAAGTGGGTGAGCAACTCAAGTAAGTGAATACCTATGACGGGTGAAGAGCTCAAGTATAAAACACCTTGGGCAAATGACATGACAATCGAATATATGTTAATTAAACAATCGGGCGAAAAACGAATCTAACAGAAAAAATGTTAAAAAAAAAAAAAAAAAGCTGAACAGATAAACCAACATTATGGAGTTACAGACAATGAAAACAAAAGCATGCAATAAAAAGTTGGTCAACCGTACTTTAGTTGCTCGTTAAACGTGGAATACTAAGCATCATCCATCATTTTTTTTTTTTTTGTTACTGAATTTTTGTAAAGATTTGACTTTTTGTTGAATTCGTGCATTTTCTAAAGATGTTTGTTTCATCATTTCTGCCATTGCAGCTGGTATTGTTCTGCTTACATGGGAGGTTAAGATGTTTAATCATTTATGCACTTGCAGCTGGCACTGTTCTGCTCAAATGGAAGGTTTTGGCTAGAGAAGTGAGGGTACGACTGATGCAGGATTGTGACTATGTGGTGTTTATGGTTTGAACAAATCCAAATTTTAACTCAATAAGTTAAGAATTCAAATCTCAATACTTATAATCTCTTTTTATATTCTCTGATACATTCTTTGTAAGAAAAAACCTGTTAAGACCTCTAAATCTTAGATCAAAACTTTAAGAATCCTATATCCAAGAGTAGACTAGAATCGAACGAACCTGACAAACAATCCAATCCATGGATAAATATAATTCAAACCTTACTAAATCTTTAATAACATCTTCATTGCATAATAACTAGATACTGAGCAATGTAAAATTTGGTGGAATTCCTTCATTCAGCATCCATTACTACTAATAATAATATCAAGCAGAAGTTTTTCTCAAACTAAAAATTTCAACAATCAAGGTGAAAATGGTGATTCTAGTTTTTATCCACCTATAAAAAACAATCCAAATCCCCCAGAATTAGACTCCTGATTATTTCTTGGCCCAGAAAATGATCTCATCATAGAACAAATAATCTGATATAGAGATATAAGACTAAAAAATCTAACTCGTGTACAATAACAATTCATGGCAAATTTCATGGTGAATTGATCTCATCATATAAAATGGAAAATCTGAACTGGATTAGGAAATATTGTCCAATTCTCATTGAAACAATTGACTAAAATATAAAAGAAAATAAAACAACAGTTACAAAAGGTCTTTTTAGCCTCACGATTCAAATATCCATTTCTGTATATTTTGTGTCAAACACATAAAAAATTTAAAAATTATTTTATCATAGTTAATATCAACACACCAAACACGAAACACAATGTTTTTATTTTTTAAATTCATGATATTTGTTAAAATTTTAAATTTACACTACTTTTGTGTAATGTCATGTTTAAAAATACCTAATCTAGATCTTTTGATTGTCCTTGGGACGCTATTAGGTATAAACCCCAACTATATTCTTATATTGAATCTCTTGATTATGCATTCTATGTCAAATTTAAAGGTGAACTATAGAAATCCTGTCTCATAACACTGTGCAAAGGAAGGCAGTCTCAAGTTTTGGAGGTAGCCCCATATTCAAAAAGATCTGCTTTTAGAATGTACAGCCACCGACGATACACTTGACAAAAGAAATTGACATTTAGATTAACTAGACAAGGAGTAAACCAAAAAAGGGAAAAAAAAAAAAGAAAAAGAGATAATGTATCATTTTAAGCCGGAAATGCCCTGCTTGGCATCACCCATTCTATTTCTTGCCTTATGTTGCCATCCAAGGGCAAAGGGTCTCCATTACCAACAAGGGTCTTGGCCTCTTTTTCATAATAGCTGCCTGTGAACCAACAGCCATCGGAGAAACAGGGCTTCCAGCAGAAGTCAAGCAGCTTTCAACAGAGCAGTCGCCAATCCGGGCAGGCATAGTGGAAGTAGTTTTGTTGTCTAGAGCAGCAGCAAGTTCAGACAAGGAAACCATCCCTTGACAATCATTGGAAACCTTGATAGCCAGTTCAGAAAGCTCTTCCTTGGCAGCTTCAAGACCAGCAGAAGCAGCAGCCTGATCATTCAAAGCTTTACAGGCTTTCTCGAGTATTGACTGTAGGTATTTGCCTTGTGCTTCAATCCGAAGTTGAAGTCGATGCTGTACCTGGTAAGTTAAACCATTAGTATGTGGAAAAATCACACATCAAAAGACTTTTTTCGTGGCAAAGAATAATCATATGCTACAAGAAGGAAAAAGAACACCCCTATTAGGTCACTAAAATTTTCAATATCAGCGAGTGGCTTTTGAAATTTTCACATTATTGGCTAGCATATACAAGTCAATAATTAACCATATATGTACCGAAGAAAGCCATTGCTTCTAACCAACCTCCAACTGTTCATGTAGTCTTCGTTGCACTTCCATCTGCACTCGAAGAGCTTCGGTAACCTGGTGACCACTGTTTGGAAGATGAAATTCAGCATTCATCCAAAGCCCAAGAAAACTACCAAAATAGTCAAACAAGAGAAGAAATAACATACTCATTCAAGTCTTGTGCTACCATTCTCGATGATAATGATGTTGTAGATGAACCAGTGTCCTGACTTTCTGCGACACAAGAAGCTGAAACACCAATGACACATCTCACTATCAGTCAATTAAGAACATGAATAGCTATTATCTGGCATCTACCAGTTCACAAGAGATAATTCGCAGGACCTCCACTAAGAACAACACATAATACAAAAACATGGCAGAAAGGAAAACAATTGAGAAGAGGTTAAATGCCAACACTGACCCAAAAGTGAAATTCAAATAAAATTAATTTTATAAACAAATTTTGGTAATTTCATTAAAAACCCAAGAGCTCATGTCTAAAAAACTCCCTCTTTAAATTCCAAGACCAACCAAAAACTCAAATTTAAATAAATAATTTTAAAAGCAAAATTTGGTAATTTATCAAACCCCAAAAGCTCATGCCTTGTAGAGCGTAGTTTCTTCTATTATAGTAATGAAATAAACTGGGTTAATATAATAGAAAGAAGAAACCTTTCATCAATGGTCTCTTTTTGGCAGAGTCGAAACAGTCGAATAGTCATGGTACTTGGTCATGACTCATAAGTACATCAAAAGTACAAGACTAAAAGAAGGTAGAAAGAAGAAGTTATTATATTCATTATTGAATGCGAAAACTCTAGAGTAATTAGGAATTAAGAGACCAAGACGCATACCATCCTTAGGGTTATCAGTTGATTCCTTGCAAGCTTGCTTCCCCAGCCGGTATTTCTGCAAATAAGGGGGATTAGGTAAAGGAAATAGAAAATACAGATCATCAGAATTTCAATTAGCTTAGCTGGTAAAGCCCCCTCCTCCAACACAAACAAAAACAGATACTAATGAGTGCACAGAATTTCGATAATGATGCTTACTACTTATGGTAAATCAAGTTGCAAATCAAGATCCATCTTTGACATAGAAAAGAGAAGGGCTGAAAACATGACACTACCAATATAAAGTAGGGAACAACTTCAAATTGTGATCATTGAAGAGATGGCAGTAACAACAAACCTGAAGATGTGACTTCAAGTGATAGAGGGTAAGGCCTTTTACTCCCATTGTTCTCATAATAGTCTTAGGGGTTGCTTCTGCAATGCATGTCAACACAAAACATTTAAGCTACACCAAGATTTATAACTTTAGAATAACAAAATGCAAAAGCATATAAGACAAAACCAAAGGATACATGAATGATGACTCATAATGTTGCTGTGAATCAGCTAGATTTGGTTCACTTAAAATCAGAGATTCAAACAGAGAAGCATGTATGATCAGCCTGGCTAAGCCACTAAGGGATTATATTAACTCATTGCACAACTATAATTAGAGAAGTTGGGGTACGAATCATCTGCATATTTGGTTGAATATGAACCAAGCTTGGACCAGGAAATAATGTCCCAACTTCCAACTCAGAGCACACCAAGCCTGATAAACTTTTTGACTCAGGAGTGGTAGGCATCAATCAAACAAAAAGATGCCAGAAAGAAAATTGAACAGAAAGGCCTAAGGGTTTAGGACAAAAGTTTAAGTGGTTGCCAATTCGCCATCACAAAATCACTCAAAATGTTCTTAATTTGTTATGTATATGATGTTTATTTTACTGCATTGAGACAAATATGTTGCCATCTTGTCTCAAAATCACTCACAAAGGCAAATATTTCATACTCTTTTCCTCATTTAGTGACCTCACACTATCAGTATGATTTCAATTCTCCACAAGCATAATTATTACAATTACAACCACATGGACTACTTAGGTCATCAATATTCTCAGAAGTCCACTTTAGACACCAAAAAAGGAGCTAGAAAATTTAAGGGACAAATCCAAATGATTAACATGCAATATACTTGTGCACTGCATTTTGAAAGAAATATTGCATATTTCAAAGAGCAGGAAAGAACATTGTGCTATGATGGTTGTAGAATTGTTTCCTACTAGCTATGTTTAAACAGCGTCAATAACTTTCTGGACAAACCCAATAATTTTGTTTTAATTTAAAACCTTAATACTTTGGCATAATTTTTTCAGGAAGAAAATATTAATACCAAGAATATTCTTCCCAGAACAAGACAAATTACCACAGTTGCTCTAGTTTGTCTTCCAACAAAAGTATGCTGACCAAAATTATTGAACTTGATGGTTTCAAAACAAGGTTTTGTCCTTTTGGTTGTATTTTATCACTAGAGAAGTACCCAAGAAATATATTGTGGTCGCACAAATTTTGAATATTACCAGAAATTTGAATAGATAACCATAAAGTCATAGTAGAAGAATAAAAAGAAAACAAAACTAAGCTCAATGAATAAGCTAGTCAATGTTTATGCAAATATATGTTGTGTATAAACATACAAGAAGACAGTCCCTTCCAGTAAAACCTGAAACAAGAGGTCAAAACTATAGGATTGGCAGATATCTTCTAGAGAGAAAGAGCCAATAGCAATGAGGTAAAGCTCCTAGACGTCGTGATCCATTTTTTAATGATATTAATGGTACAAACAGAGAACATGATTTTGATCATACCAATGATTACAATGAAAAACAATTGTGGTTGCCGTTGGTAATTAACTCAAAGCTGATATGAAGAACATGGTAACAACATATCTTCTTCATCCAAAAAAGGCAAAGAACACTCCTTTAATCACTTCAATTCAGCCTATAAAACAACTATATCAAACATCATCACACCAATTAGTTCAACAATAAAAAAAAAAAAATGAAGAAAAAGGGCAAAAATACCGAGTTTTAAAAATTGAAATAAAATATATGGCATGTAATCCATGAATACATAAAAACCAGAATTACCAAAATAAAAAATGACCTTATTTCAAGGAACGAGAAAAAAAAATTGCATTAACTTTAAAACCCAATATTTCCAATCACATTAGCAAAAAGAAAGAAAAAAAGATGAGCCAAGTCTCAAAAGCAAGAGCTACGACAAAGAAACCAACCCAAAAATAAAAATTAACATTAAAATAATACATTATTATCCAATCAAATAAAAATAAACTCAATTGCTTAAACAAAAAAGGGAAAAATCCCATTTTTACAGTTAAAAGCAAAAGCAAAGATGACCCAGAAACGAATACTCACTGTCAGGGCCGCCAAGTTGAGTAACAGCATCGACGAAACGTTCATGGAGTTCAGCTGTCCATCGGAGTCGAGGCTTCGGATCAGTTGTCAGGACCAAGCAACCATCACCAGGCAAGTTGGTCCCATCAAGTGACCCATGATAATCTCCCACACATCCATCCAACGGTAAAGACCGAATATCCGAGTACATTTCTTCTTAAACTTCCCCCTAGAAAGTGATGGCAAATGCAGGGCAAATAAATGGGAGCAAATGAGTTGGATTTTTTTTTTTCCGTTTTCGGGCTCAGGGCACGGAGCCTCGAAGTTTGACGGAAGAAAAAAAGAAGAGGAGGACGCTTAGAGATATCGAGTTACAATTTACAAAAGCGAAGTGAGTGAATTTGAGGCACTCGAAGGTTAAGACAGCGATGTGTTGTTGTGTCATTGTCTCTCACTTTCATCTCTCTCACTCCCCTCTTTATTTAGTTCAATTTATTTATACTTGAAAAAAAAAAACTTTTGAATTCAAAAAAAATTAAATTTTTATATATATATGGTAAGATTAGTGGGGGCCACGTGTGACCCATTTTTATGTTTTTTAATTCATTTTAAGTTTTATTTATTTGGTTAAATTTGAAAATTTTTAATTGAGGTATTTGTAAAAAAAAAATAATATAGTGTTTTATTTTAAATTCCTACCGTTTAAAGTTTCAAAGGAATGTGATATGAAGTTAGCATTAGATTTTAAGATAGCGTAATACCTACTTAATGTTTTAAGTTTAATTTAAAGGAAGTAATCAAGTTAATTTATTGGTTTATCTAAATTTTTTAAGGAAATTTTCTGAAAAGTACCCAAAAATTATGAGATGTAGTACTAACTTCATTGGATCCAACTGTTTTTATACAATTTGTATTTTAATTATTTTTTTTATATGAGGATTGAAAAGAAGGATTAAATGAACTCATTGAGTTGAGTTAGGCTGATTATGAGCTGGGCTTAAGTAGAATATTAATAAGTTTTAAATTTGTCTAAGTATGGCTCAACAATGAGTTTCATTTTGCTATTTAAGTTCAGTCTGTTTTGAAAATAAGTTATTTAGGGTTGTCTAGATTTTATTTTTAAATAAAAAATAAAATTTTTATAATAAATATTAATTATGATAAAATAAATAATTAATAAAATAAAGCTTAAAAAAATTTGTTAATTTAATTTGATATTTGAATGGGATTGATATATATAAACATAAGGTATTAATGTATACATTATTGTTTAATTATATATTTATTTTATATATATATAATTATAAATGCCATAATGTGTAAGTTTGAGAACTAATTTATTAGACACAATATATGAAATCATCACCAATTTTTTCTATTTTGATATAATTGATCACCTAAGTAAATCTATTTTTTTTAAAAAAATCTTAAACTTGACCAAATGTCTCTAAAAGGAATATGTTACGATTTTCTAAACAAAATTGGTTTAGGAATTCATTTACATGTTGAAGGTTATAGCATCCTCCAATTTACATAAATTAGTATCAATTAATCTTAAATTATCTTTTTAACCTTAATTAATATGGTTTTAACTCATTCTTATTATTTATTTTTATTAATTTTAAAATTTAAATATTAAAAATACTTTTAAATTTTCTCCAATATCTTGGTCGACCCCCTAAAAATATTATTTATCTTAAAAGTATTCAATTAACATACTTGTTTCTTTAAAAAAGTTTCATCATCGAAAATTTTATTTACTTTTAAGATTAAATATATTTTAATTGTACAAAAATTAATAATTCAAAATTTTCATGTGTAAAAAATAAACAAAAAAATATATAAAGAAATAAGCAAATAATAAAATATGATATATGAAACTTGAAAATGCTAGCAATAATCTAATAATCAAAATCAAAGACCAATGGTTTTAAGACTGTGCCTTGAATTCCATGCAAGACAAACAATTCAAAATTCAAAAGCAATCATTGACCTTTTTTTTTTTTTTTTTCTTCAAAACAACAAAATATTACTTTTTATATTTCTCCTTCCACCAATTCAAATATTCTAAAAAATCTTTAAAGAATTGAAATTGAAAACCTCAAAAGCATAAACCCACAACCAAGCAAACCCCAAAATCAAAGATAATTATTGCTAAAAAATTTTGCAACTTTGTCTCTTCTATCTATCAATTGCTATTGATTCTTTTGTTTCCTTGTCTAGGTATCTTAAACAGGGACTTAATCCAAAATCTAATGGAACAAGAAATTCCTCTTATTTACTTTTACAAGGATTTGAGTTTTAGAGTTTAACTCTAATGTTATTCGGATCTCTTCCAAAAATCAAGTCAAATACATTATACATTTTATTAGGATTTTAATCTCAACCAAAAGTGTAACAAGTCTTTTAATTCCGACATAATTTTGAATTTTAATCCTTTTTTAAACATAACTCCTTCCTTTTGTAATTTTAGGATCTCTGTTCTTCTTTTTTTTAATAAACCAAAATAGAATAAATAAAATAATAAGAAACAAATAAAATAAAATTTTGAAAACAATTAAATCTAAGTAAAACTCCAAACTAAATGGAGTGTCTATAGTTGTTCCTTTTTTATGCATTTTTTGTGAAATAAGAATTTTACAAAAATATAAATAGCCATTTATGTTTGGATCTGAATCTACCCAAATAGATTTTTTTAAAAAAAAATTACTTCTTTAAACAAAAACTCATTTAAATAAAGGCTCAACAACTTTTGAAGAATTTAAAACTCTCCTCTAAACAAAAGCAATGTAGCTTTAAATTTTAGAAAGCTCTTCTAACCATAGGCAATGTAACTTTGAAATTTTGCAAAAACTATTCTAATTAGAGGTAATGTAACTTTTAATTTTACAAAAAAACTTTTCTAACCAAAGGTAATGAAACTTTTAAAATTTTTAAAAAATTTTGGTTGAAGTCAAGTCCTAGACTAAGACAAAATCCAAAAATGAAATGACTTGAATTGAGTGGGAGTCCAAAAATGAAATGACTTGAACTAAGTCGAAGTCTAAAAATGAAATGACCTAAATTGAATCGAAGTTGAAAAAAGTAATGGCCTAAACTGAGCATAAGTTTGAAAATAAAATGACTTAGACTAAGTTATTATACCTAGAGATTTTGAACATCATACTCGAAGGTCTTGTAATTATACTTTAAGATCTTACTAATCATGCCCTGAGGTCTTTAAAGTTTATGTTCAAAGTCTTACAAATCATACCCAAAGGTTTTTAGAGTTTATGTTCAGAGGTCTTACAAACAAAATCCTAAGGTCTTTAAGATTATGCCCTGAGGTATTAAAAATCTTGCTTATCTTTAAAAAGTCTCCTTTAAATAAAAGTTTCACAACTTTAAAAGAAAAATCATAACATTGTTATTTTCATGTGCCAACATAATTGGATTTAAATCTCATCCAATGGACCAACTAAACTGGGTTTAAACATTTTATTTTTCCAATAATCTCGACATTTCCTTCTAATATCTCTAATTTCTCTCTTTATCTCCAAGCTTACAAGAATGCTAATGTCATATCCTAAAAATGATGTGAAAGCAAATGCCTTTTATCCAAGATGTAACACATTTTATCTTACTAATGCAAATGCAAAATATTCCCAAATATAAATGCAAATATCTATCCCACATGTTCTATTCCAAAAATGAAGTACAAATGTCTTTCTTTAAAAATGTGAATGCAATGATTAATGTTAAATGATACAAATGCAAGATCTAAACAATTCATTATATGATGCAAATGCTTGATCCAAGTAATAATCCAAATGCAAATTCTAAACAAAAATTTAAACTCATCAAATGATGTAAATGCACAATTCAAACGATGATGCAAATGTAATATTCAAAACAAAATATTTAGATGCTTATCAAATGATGCAAATGTAGGATTTTAACAATAATGCATATGCATTATTCAAAACAATGACTCAAATGTTCACAAAATGATGCAAATGCATAGTTCAACCAATGATGCAAATGCAATTATCAAAATAAAGCATTTTTTTTCTCTAGAAAGGTTAGTCTTGTTATATTGGTTTCAAAATCATCTTTCCTTCATCCATCAAAATTCATATATGCAATGATTCAAATTTGAATTTTTTTTTAAAAAACATTCCAAAGAATGGTAATAATAATTAAGTAGAATAATCAAAAGAATCTTTTCTTCAAAATGTTCATATTGCCATCATAAGCTTATCATTTGACAAGAGAGAATTGCCCAACATAACTATTTTTCCAAGATAAAGACAAAATGAATAAGATATTAATTCCTTTTTAAGAACATACAACACCTTGGTCGACCTTCTAAAAATATTCTTCATCTCAATAGTATTCAAATAACATGGTTGTTTCCTTGAAGAGGCTCTGTTATTGAAAATTTTATTTCCTTTTAAGTTTAAATATATTTTAATTGTAGAAAAATTAATAATTTAGATTTTTCATATGTAAAAAATTAAAATAAATAAACAAAAATATATGCATAAGGAAATAAACAAATAATAAAGTATGAAACTAGAACTCGAAAATGCTAGCAATAATCAAATAATCAAAATCAAAGACCAATGGTTTTAAGACTTGTACCTTGGATGCAAGACAAACAACACACAATTCAAAAGCAATCACCGACCTCTTTTTTTTTTTTTTTTGCTTCTTCAAAACAACCAAATGTTGCTTTTTATATCTTTCTTTCCACCAATTCAGATCTTTTGAGAAATCTTCAAAAAATTGAGATAAAAAATCCTAAAGCATAAACATATAGCCAAGCAAACCTCGAAATCAAAGATATCTACTACTAAAAAATTTTGCAACTTTATCTTTTTTGTTTATCAATTACCATTCAATTTTACGTGTGCTTGTATGGTTTTTTTTTAATAGGGACCTAATCGTAAATCAAATGAAACAAGAACTTCCTCTTATTTACTTTCATAAGAATTTGGATTTTAGAGTTTAACTCTAATCATATTCACGTCTCTCCAAAAAATCAAGTCAAATACATTGTATGTTAGATTAGGGTTTTAATCCCAACCAAAAGTGTAACAAGACTTTTAATTCCAACATAATTTAGAATTTCAATCCTTTTTCAAACCCAACTCCTTCTTTTTGTAATTTCGAGACCTTTTTTCTTTTTTTTTTTTAAATAAACCTACAAAAATAAAAAATAATGAGAAATAAATATAATAAAAATTTAAAAATAATCAAATCTAATTAAAATTTCGGATTAAATAGAGTATCTATATAAATATTAAATATATAATTATTCTATGTCAAACTAAGTTTAAATGTCATGTCCAAAATCTATCTCATTTTTAAACAAGTTTAAATTTAAATTTAAACAAATTTAACGGACCTAAA